GATCCAAAGTAATACATGGTATTCCATTTGGGTCCAGCTTGGCTGTAGGAATTGCCAGAAGTTTGTCATTGTTGGCAGCCAACTCTGGATTTGAGGCACCACTCTGGATTTACTTCCATAAAGAGAAAAATGCATAGATAAATTCTGGTCCAGATTTACCAAATGCCATTGATTGCAGGAAAGCAGGCCTATCCCCAGATTTAGATGAGAGTGGAGGCTTTGTCAGTTGTCAGGGGGTAAGGATTTGTGCACTTAAATTAGTTTGCATCATTTGAGTGGATAATTGTGGGTGCTGCTCCCTCCCCAGTGAGGGACTTGATTGCAGAAAACTAAACAAAAAAAAAAAATTTAGATGAAAGAAATTCATTCATTGTCTGTTTAGCACTAGACTACATCATTTAATGTTTCTCTAGTTAAATATAAATTAAAAACTTATGTTTATTGTTTGATTAAATTCAGAGGAGAAAAATACATAGTTTGTGAATACAGACTAAAATGTTTAATGGCTATTTTGATGGCAATTCTATTTATCCCAAGTGAATGAATTTGGAATAATAGAACAACACAAGATAAGGTAACTGAAAGAATCAGTGCACATGTCAGGCTCTAATAACCTCTTCAGTAGGCTTAGCATAGAAATGAACACCAGATAAGAGCCTTTCAGAAAGAAAGAACATTAAGCCCAAAACTAATAGTTCCACCACCACTACAGGTATATATTCCAGCAACATGAACATTCTAATTATCACCACCAAATTGTGCTATACTACACATAGTCTAAGGGATAAAAAATAAAATTGAATCTATTTAGCTCTAAGTCATGAGTTCAATCCCTGGGCTAGGTAGTTCAGGAATTTTATTAGAAGAGACAACTAACATTACAAGAATGAACTAGCTGATACCTAGTCCTGTAGCATTAGATAGAGGAACAAGAATGATAAAGGGTTCAGAATTCTTGATATAGCCTATATATATATATATATATATATATATATATATATTTACAATACAATGTAGTTGTATTTTTTCTCACTTTCAAAACTCTGCATTGTAGCACGTTTGGTTTTATTTATAAGAATCATCATCATCTTGACTGGAATCTTTTCTTTGTTGTTTTGATCACTGTTTTGATCAAATGTCTCTCCAGCATTTTTGTAGGTAACTAACTGTAATTTATTTATTTAATAACTTTCACCTCTTCACTTATACAAGTGATCAGATTGATCTATAATTTTTATTTATTTTTAGCTTATTGATATTAATAACAAAGGAGAAGGTACGAGTCCACATGATACATGATTAAGTAATGGCACTACTTCTAAATTTCAGGCAACAACTTGTTTGAAATTTCCTGTATTTAATTTGGTGTAGAAATCTGAGAAAAGAAACAAGATCATTTTTTTTTTTTTATATTGGGAAATAAGAGAATGAAGCACTTTTGATGAAGGAGACCATTTAAATGCTAAAAACATGTCATTAAAAAATTGGTATAAATATCAATAAGAATATCCTACAGAAGTTTAACATTTCATGTAGTAAATTAATTTTTATATTTAATTATATGGAAGGTTGGTTGGGAAAAAGAACAAAAAGTTCCAAATAATAATAAAAGAACAAAGTTTGAATGCTAATAACAACAGCAGTTATTCAAGCACTTAACAGAAATGAAAACCATAAGGATGAATCAAAAGATGACAAGTGAGATTTCTGTTAGCTAATTATTGAAACAACATACATATATATATATATATATATATATATATATATATATATATATATATATATATAAAAGGGACTGAAAAGTTCTTGGCCTGACCCCCAACACTAAAAAGAAAAAAAACATTTTTAACTAAGCATCAGAATTTTTAGAAGGACATTTTGATTAAGCTAAGAACTCTTCATCACTCCCTCATGTATGTGTGTGTGCGTGTATGTATATATATATATATATATATATATTATAAATTGATTTAAAATATGTTTTTTTTAGGGCTTTTTAGCTTCTATTTTTTGAAACATGGTTAGAACTGTGTAGCGGAAAAACCATATTTTAAATCAATTAATTTATAATATTAATGCTCTGTAAATTTACATTGAGCACTATTTTGTAAAAATAAAAATATCTATAAGAACACCGGATTATATATCTTACTGTTCTTTCTTTTTATATATATATATATGGGGTAACTATGTGTGCGTGTATATATATATATATATATATATATATATATATATTTTCTTATTTTTACCTGAAAAGAAAGGATTACAATATTTGAAATGTTGTCATGCAGTCAAAGATGATGTTAACTGAAAGTAAATTATATTAATGTCTTGTTCCATAACTACAGAAATTTGGAATTATCTTGTATCTAAATGTTATTTCTGGTTCTGTATCTATCTGCCATTATTTTTTTTTCAGAATGGGTTGAATCAGTGCAATATCAAAAATAATTTAATGATTGTTTACTGTTGGTGTTTAGTCACATGATCTTATTTCTTAATATTTTTGCTCACTAATGACATGCTTTATTTTTCTGCATACTAATCCAGCAGGCTTCACTTTTTCAAATAAAAACATTCTCAGACGAATATTTCTTTTAAGCGTACTGCAAATTTTACAAGTTTACAAATGGGCATTAAGCATAAAGATTCCCACTAGGTGAATATTTTAAATTTCACACCTGAATTTACAGAACATATTGCACTCAAGAGGGACAGGAAAGTGGTGAATAACCTACTTAATGACCTTGTGTAAATATGGTTGTTAGAATAGGGATTAGAAGAGAAGTAAAAAGACAAAATTGGAGTTTACAAAGTACAAGAAATTGGGGAGAGCCATGATCACACACGTCTTCAAAGGGCACGGCATATAGAAGAGGAAATGAAAATGTATAAGAGGATACTTCAAATTTTGAACTGATATTTAAATTTCTGGAGGTTGCTTCAAACTTTTGAACTATAGTGTATATATATATATATATATATATATATATATATATATATATATATATATATATATATATACACACACACACACACACATATCGTTAATTAATCTGAAACTTTTAAAACCATTTATTTTATTTTCAACATCATCACTTGATAAGACAGTGTGTTGAAACAAAATGGCTATTTTGTAGTGATTTTTTATAACATACATATGTTATAATTTTTTTATAAAAAAATATATATATATATATATATATATATATATATATATATATATATATATATATATATATATATATATATATATATATATATATATATATATATATATATATATACATACATATATATATATATATATATATACATATATATATATATATATATATATATATATATATATATATATATATATATATATATATATATATATATATATATATATATATATATATATATATATATATATATACATACATATATATATATATATATATATATATATATATATATATATATATATATATATATATATATATATATATATATAAATATATGGAATGAATGGAATGAACTTGACAGAAGAGTGAAACCTTTCCATCCAAAAAAATGAAAAAGATCTTAGAGTCATTGAAATAAGAATGGAATCAATTATCAAACTTATACTTTGAGAAACTTTTCAATGAATGGCAAAAATTTGTGCTGCAGTAATCAAGGCTAAAGGAGGATATTTTGATGAGAACAAAATTTAATCATAAAATGCATTTTTCTTTTGGTCATAATAAAAAATAATAATGTCTGACTTTTTTTTTTTAAACCATGTATAATAATTTTCTCTTATTCAAAGTACAAAACAATTACTTTTGGGCTCAGTTTAAAAAATTACCAGGTGGACTCAAACTTTTGAACTGTAATGTGTGTGTGTGTATATATATATATATATATATATATATATATATATATATATATATGACACAGAGTGTGTTGAAACAAAATGGCTATTTTTGTAGTGATTTTATATCATACTTATATTTATTTTTTTTTATAAAATATATATACATACATATATATATATACATACATACATATATATATATATATATATATATATATATATATATATATATATATATATATATATATATATATATATGGCAATAAATTACATCACTTAGTGTCCTCCATATTTTATCTTTCCTTACACAGCTAGCTTTAAAAATATTCCTCCATTTTACTTCTGTGTATAAATACAAGTTACAAAATCTCCACATTTACATAAAGCTCCTCAGGGTATGAAACGCATTGGTAAAAAAAAGTTTTACTTTTGTCTTTTACATACATTATCTTTACAGATGTTTTTATTTGTATCTGAATTTTTATATATGTATATAATCACCTTTCCAGAAATTGATCAAAGTTAATTAAAAATGTCTTATTTATAAATATATTTTCTTTTTTATATTAAAACAAACCTAAAAGTTTCCTCAGACTATAGATCCGTTTCTGCTCAGAGATATATAGCAATTTAGTAAGTGTTGCTTACTTGTGGCACAAGGCCAAAAGAGTGGAGCACCTAGAGAGAAAAATGATTTTTTAAGCATTGCTTAGATATAGTACAAAGCGAAAAGTGTGGAGCACCCAGTGAGAATTAAACTCACTACTCAGTTATAATTGATCTTGTGAGACAAGCTTGCTAATCATTACACCATGTCAAAGTGACCTTTTATTAGAGTCACTTAGATGTGGCACAAAGCCAAAAGTGTGGAGCGCTCAGTGAGGATTGAACTCACTTGTAATTGATCTAGTGAGACAAGCTTGGTAACCATTACACCAGGTTGAACTGATCTGATAGATATATACAAAATCTGCACTGACATACTTTTTTTTTAATTTGTTTTATAGTCTTTATACAAATTAAAATTTAAAAAAAAATAAGTGAAGCCACTGAGATTACAAGCAAATGCATGACAAGTGATTTTTTTTTTTCTTTTTAATTGCTTGCCTAAAATCTTTCTCTGTTCTCTAACATCTTTTCTTGCCTGCCTCCTTAGTTCTTAATCCAGGTGTGCACTCTGGTTATGCGTTGACGATGATTGGTCCAGGTGGGACCATCCTGCTGCAGTCTTCTACCACTCCACCTACTTCTGCTCCTTTTGAGCACAGGACGCAATCACAGACAACACAGGGCAAATATTATCGGCAGACAACACGCTACTCTGATCCACTTTATGCTTCCATTCCTGAAGATGCTGAACCTCATTTGCAAGGTAGACCAATCAATGACGCCATCATTGTCATAGTAATCATCATAGTTGTTGCTTCTTGATGTTGTCTTTTGTGTCTTGTTGCCTATTTTTTTAATGATTTAATCATTTAAGAAAAGGAAAACAAAGGGAGGTAATTTTTATCTAATGATTACTTTGGAGTTACATGTTGTCTGTGCTGAATTACATACACACACGCATACACACATTTTTCTGTGAATGTTGTCGGTTGTAGCTTTTTTATGAATATAGAAATACTATATTTCATACTTTTTCATATCTTACTTTTATTTTTGTGTTATTTTTCAGCAGTGAAATGAGAAACATTTCCAAATGCAAGTTTTATTACTTCTCTAATTACTTTTAATGATAATCATGTGATTTATATCCTGATTAAGTGTATTTCTTAATCACAGATCCTTCTGTAATAAGCAAGGGAAATAACTGAAAGAAATAATAGCGATTAAAATGTGTGTTTAGAATAACTACAAAGGGAAGTAACAAAAAAAAAAAAGTGGTTCATCAGTTTAAAGACTTTGCCACTTTACAATAATGTCAGAACTTTTTCTCTCTCCCTTTTTTTTATTCTTTCCTCTTGATGTTTTAACATGGCTGTTTTAGCTGGTATTATTAAATTTTGTATCCCCGTAAAAAATATTTAAAGGAGTAAATGTTTATTTTTACTGAAACAGAAATATATATATATATATATATATATATATAGTTCATCAATTAATATTCACAACTGAATTAAGTGCCATATTAAGGAAGGAGATTATGTTGTAAAATAAATAATTTGTCATTATTAAACTGCAGACTTTCAAACATTTTGCAGTTTGTTTTTTTTTAATCATTTCACCCCAAGCAAGGTAATAAAGCTACTAAGGCATAAGGGCTTACCAAGAGTAAAAGAAATTGAGAAAATGTTGTTGAGTAGAAATCTGACAGTAAAAGAATAGGTATCAAAAAGACAGAAGATACTGATTGATGTTGCGTTTAAGTTTTGACAATCATAGTTAATAGGAAAGCAAGAATCCAAAGTGTGAGAAAATATAAAAAAAAATAAAATAAAAAAAAATTATCAAGGAAAGAGAACAATAAAGGAACAGGAGCAAAAAATAATGATTGAGATTGCAGTTTGAAGATCAAGGTTGATTAGAAAGCAACAAGCTTGAAGAGAGTTTCATAAGTGAGAAGTGTAATGATGAGACCTAGCTGCCAATCTAGTACTGCGCTTAAATTCATGAAGTAAGGTACCAAAGAGAAAAGCTCATCGTTTGCATTGGTTATATTTTCTATATGTGTAATCTAGGATTTTTTTATCCATACAATTACTTTTATTATATATTATTAATAGTTTACTTGTCCCATCAAAAAACAATGGCAGTATTTAAATAATTTTGCACTTGAATTGTGCTTGTTAAAATATCAAAAACTTTATAATATTACTCTTCATTTTTCTATTTATGTTCAATACTTTCTGAATATTAAACTCAGCAAATAAAATTTACCACTGAATAATTATGTATAACAATATATTAGTACATAATAAATATCTGGTCCTTTGTCAATTATTTCTAAAAATAGAACATTACATGATAATAAGTTGGTTAAAAAGAAAACAAATTATTGTGTACCACATTATACAAAGCATCTATATTTAGCTAGTAAATATCATACCAAATGCACTTTTCTCAAAATTACCTAATATATACTGTATTTGATAGTATATACGCCCCCATCTTTTTCTCTCTAAAAATATTCCCCTTGTCTTATATGTATCTATTTGGCCAATATTAATCAAAACACCATTAACTACCAGTACTTGTATCTCACCTACCTCATTAATGTTTTAATATTAGATGTAAATAGGCAGGGGTCTTATCTGTTAACAAATATGATAATTTGTTCAGTAAACTTCAGAAGCATTAACCTGTCAGATATTTTATAACATTCAATTGCTACTACTTTAGGCCATTTTATTGTAATAGAAAAAAAAGATTTACACTGGGAATATTAATATTTAGTAAAATTATTTCTATAAAACATTTAGTTCAGTGAAACCTTGCATTTTCTCTAAACTTGGTTTTGCTTGATATATTCATTAATCTAGATGCCCCATTTCTGGTAACTTGATGCAATAGTTTTGATAGCTACTTTTAATGACTTGTTAGCAGTTGTTGTATGTTCATCATGTGTTGATTTTGGTATTTTAAAAACCTGCACTGTAATCTGCTCTTTTTTTCTCTATGTAAATAATGCTTTTTTTTTTTTTTAAGCAAGATGCTTGTAGCTTTTATTTATTACTAGATAAATAAAAATAAACCATATTGATTTTGAAATTATTAATCTAACATAATTATGTCAATCAGTGTTAAAGAATTTTACTCTGTTGGTTTTATCTTTTATTCACCTCAAGTATTACAAAATCTAGTTTATATGAACAATACAAGAAAATGTTGTTACATTACACATTCAAAAAGTCTGATCAGAAGTGCAGGAAAATATAAGGTGGTACCCTAAAGATATCCAGCTTTCCCATGCGTTTTCCAGACATTTCACACTTTTATCAAACTCATTTCATTTAGAAATAAAGGTATTATCTGTCAAATTTTGCATGTAAATTTTGAGTCACACCTTATGTTTCTCCAGCAGAGTCAGGTTTTGATTTACAGTGAATGTTCATGTATTAGGTCATGTTGTTAGTGAAAGATAGTGAAATCTGTCATATTTTGTACTTCTGACACAAGTCTGTTTAAAAGAAATGGCTGCTTATAGTCATATTTTATAGTCCCAATATATTCTGTGCAATCACTCACTCCCTCTCTGTTTGTGTATGTATATATATATATATATATATATATATATATATATATATATATATATTCAAAGAGAGGAAAAGGCAAGAACTGCAAAGGGTAAGCAAGCAGTTATATGAAAATTAGGACTTGTTTTGTGGTTGTGTTTGGCATGTGCTCTTTCTCTGCTCTTTCTATTTGGCTTGGATAATTTTTGACTAACTTTATGAATTGGTATTCTCAAACTCTCTACCCTTTCATGTCTACTGTTTCTTTGATTTTTTTTTCTGTCTTTACTTTTGAATATATATATATTTTTTTAAATCTTTTATGCATGTAACTGAATTTGTTTTTATATATAAATGGAATTTTTAAAAATATTTTCATTGTTTGATTGATGATTTTTTTTTATAAATTTGGTATGCAGATTTATCTCCCTTTGATAAATTGGTTCCATTAATTACAAGAGAGTTATGGAAACAGTTTTGTCTAATCTAGTTTTTATTTATTTTTTCATTGTATTGTAAATTTTCAAATCTTACTAATAACAAAAAATCCATGTATTTGAGGATTTTGTGTTTTGAAAACTATTTTCTTAACAAATTTGCTTTCTAACCTGATTCAAATAAAAAGAGAAAATAACTTTCAATATTTCTTACCAATTTTCACAGCACAAAATAGTTATAATTTAGAATTTTTGTAAAAATGTGTTTTAATGTCTCAAATCCATATTTCTTTTAATAATCGAGAATAATAGCTTGCTGAATGATGGGTAATCACTTATAATAGATTAAAAAAAAAAATGCTAATTTTATGTAACTCTTCAGAATTGCTAAAATAACACAGATATTTAAACCAAAATCATACCATCCAAAATTTTTAATATATAAAATTGCTTCTCAGATACTCAGATACATTATATCCACAATTAAAACCTTGTTGATGTTATTTTACAAAAAGAAATTCTGGTTATATTTCAGTATGGCTTTCATTATAATCAAAAATACAATTTTAGCTCGGAGCTTTAAAACAAATCTATTTCGTAATTAAAATACTGATTTTATTTTTGTGTCAACTATTCTTAAACATTATCACAATAATATGTAATATCAGCAGTTCAGTTTTTAAGAAAGATATTTTAATTCATATTCTTGTGATGGACCAAGCATTCAGTTTTAGAAGTTAAATTTTCATTAGATAATAGTAAATAAAATTAAAAATGTTAAATGGTCATATTTGCTCATATGTGAAACTATATGTGATATCTTTTTTTTTTTTTTTTTTTTAATAGGAATGTTTAAGATGCATGACTATTTTTTTTTCTGGTTAGTTGGGCAGAGATATGTTTTAATAAGTAATTTATACCTTGATTTAGATTCTGGAAATTCTCAAATTATTTATTTTTTTTTTTTTTTTTAGATTGCTTTAAATTTAAAATAGTTTGATATTATTTTTTGTTTGTTTTTACTTCTTGTGCAAATGTTAAAGAAATCTCTTTTTTTCTTTAAATTATTTGTTAATCTTTTGCAAAACAAAACTCCATGTATATAAAAATTAACATCACTGCTTAAATATTATGAAAAGATTATTTTATCAACTTTATTTACTTTTTGTTAATAAATGAAAAAATAAAAATAAGAAATAGAGAAAAGGAATTTAGAAATAATGAAAAAGTTAGTAATTTCTCAGTATATCATGTGTGGCATTTTTTTAATTTATAAAGCCAACATAAATCAATGTCATGATTTCCATACTTAACCATTTCTCCAACAACTTATCTAAGCATTGTCCAGTGAAAGTAATTTCATTTAATTCCTTGGCTATACAATAAAAAAAATATTCTAACTTTAATGGCTACTGTTGATAAGAACAACAAAGATGAGGACATTAGTCCAAATGTAAATAATGATAATTCCTCATCCCTGTAATTCAGATAGAAAGTTTTTAAACTTTAATTTACATCGAACAGACAGCTGAAGAAGGTCAGAGAGCATAACAGCTGAAACATTGTGATAACAACAAAGATGAGGATATTAGTCCAAATGTAGAAAATAATAATAGTAAAATAGACATAATGATAATTATTCATCCCAGACATTCAGACAGAAACCTTACTGCTATAATTTTGGCCAAAATTTAAAAAAAAAAAAAAAAAACAGTTCATTTGAAATTAGTAATTTATTTAATCCAAAATATAAAATTGAAAATATGACATTTAGTTTATATAAAATTTAGATTTTTTTTTTAACCTTGATTGTAAAATAAATTGGCCAAACTTGTAAACTGGCAGTAAAGTTGGATGATATACATATCCTTCATCATCATGTGCTCATAAGAATTGACAACTCATATATATATATATATATATATATATATATATATATATATGAGTGTGTGCTATCAAAAAATTTAATAGGAGTAAGGTAGCTAAAAAAATTGATTATAACATGGCTTTCCCTTTCCTACTACATTATTATATTTTATATATAGGACTCTAGAAAAAAACAATTAAAAACACATTTTTTTTTTTTAATTATATTTCCTATAATGACTTTTCTATAATATATTTCTTATAATCACTTTCATTATCAAAAGAATGTGATTCTTTCTTTCTTACTATAATGAACTGTTTTTTATGTAACAAGACTTTTAAGTAACTTTTAAATCTTTCATTTGAATTATTTTGATGTCTACTGTACTTGTTTTGTAGAAGAGATACATTTTTTTAAAGATTTCGTTTATATAATAGAGAAAAAAACATTTAAATCTGGCTTTCATTAATTTTGAACTGTTATAGATTTCGATCATTTTGTTGTTTCTTTTGATATTTTCTTTTTATGTTAAAAAAGCAAATATACTTACAGATGATACTTTTTTTTATTTAGATCTTTCTTTTGCAATATGGAAATATTTGGTTTGCACTAATTTTACAATTGTTTTAATTTGGGTCATGTAATTTGATTAATTGTTTCTCTCTCTCTCATTAGCTGGCAGTCAGCTGTCCAGTCCAACAGGGACTCTGACTGGGGGTCACAGCAGTCAGTACAATACTCTGCAGCAACACGGTTACCATCAACAGCAGCAACAACAGCACCACCAAATGAGCTCAAACCAGACAAGCCACTATCATCATCAGCAACAACAGAGTAACCTCCATCACAGCCAAATGCCACCACATCCAGACCACCAGCTGCTACTACAAAAACAACAACAACAACAACAGCAACATCAACAACAACAGTTTTACCAGCAGCAGCAGCAACAACAACACATGCAACAGTTCTCAGGAAACATGGTGGATGGCAGTTCCACATTGCCTCCAGGCAGTTCATTGCATGTGGATACCAGTTCAAGGTCTGCTACTTTGCCTCGCAGCCCCTCATCTGCTGGAAGGTAAGTAATTTTTTTTCTGGAATTTTGGATTATCCAAACCAGTTTCAAATTCATTGAAACACAAAACTAATCACATGAGAGGATTTTCTGTCTACCCTAAAATAATTAAACAGATTGTATTTATTTATTTTTCTAAAAATATCTGTCTTTCTCTCTATCTCTTTCTTTCACACACACACACACACATACACACATTGAGCTGGAAAGAAAGTCCTCAGAAACCACTTTCATATCAAGCATGCTTTACCATTAAACCACAAGAAAACATCACAGCAAAACAAGTCTCAAGTACTTTATTTAAGAAAAGCACATCTTTTATGGGGAACTTTCAAAGTTTCTACTTGCTTTATTTTTTAAATCTATACCTGCTAACTTTATTTTCATACATAAAATAATTTTTAGAACTTCAAGTGCAAAACTAAGGTAAACTTTGAAAGTTCCCAATATAAGATGTGCTTTTCTTAAATGGAATAATATAGCCTAGTTTTGCTGTGATAGTTTTCTGTGGTTTAAAGAAATTCCTTTTGAGCTTTGGTTGAAACATATAATTGACTAATATTTTGGTTTATATCATTGACTGATATTTTGGTTTATGTCATTGACTGATATTTTATTTATATTATTGACTGACATTTTGGCTTGTATCATTGATTGATGTGAAGTGAGTAGCCATGGTTAAATGCAAAATAAATAACAGAACTGTCCAGCAAACAGAATTTTGCAGTAAGTGATAACAAGGAAAAGAACAGGGCAAAAAATGATATAAAGCAAGCAAACAATATATGAAAGGCAAATTAACAGTAATTTGGCAAAACGTTCACAAACTGAGGATTGGCATTGACACATAAAACCAAGTTCAGACAAGTGAACATAGTGTCTGACATGACAGACCAGGACTGAGTCAGATAAAACTGAGAACCAGCCTATTTTATTGGCTTGAAAAGAATCCCAACATGCATTTGCATGCTTCTGCTTATAAAATTATAAGCCTTGCTATGACATGTATATTCAAACAAGTTTTAAAAGTATCATAGCAAAACAATATTTTAATAATGTTTTTTTTATAAGGTAAATGAAATAAATTTTCTCATCAAAAGTAGAATGAAATATTAAAATAAATTAATTAAAATAAATGGTAATTAACTAAATCAATGGTTATATTATTCATAACAAAACAAGCAATGGGATTTTCTTTCAAAGTGTTTTAACAGAGGACAAAAAAATCAACACTAAAATCCAAAGGCATATAGTCTGTGTGTTCAGTCAGGCACTGGGATTCTACAAGGATTGCAGTTTGCCTAAGGAGAAGAACAACAATATATACTTTTGTCTATTTTACAGATAATGAAAGAACACTCTCATCTGCTATATTATTTGTTAAAAAGTAACTGTGTGTGTATATATATATATATATATATATATATATATATATATATATATATATATATATATATATATATATATATTGTTAAATAATATAACCAAAAGGATATTCTACTCCCTCCCTACCATACTGACAATGTTATTTATCATTTTAAATGTAGTTGCAGTGCTGACTACATAGGTTGAACAATCCAACATTTAGATGCTAGAATACAGCAGCATATACCTAGAAAAAATCAGGAATGGAACATCCCAACTAAAGGACATTCTGAACAACACATATGGTTCCTCTATCACAGAGCATCTTATTAAAAACCCAAACTGTGCCACTAACTTTAGCATTGACTCATTTACTGTCTTGAATCGTGCTTACTCTATATTGCAGATAAAGGTGTCGGAAACAATTTACATTCAATCTAGACAGCCCCCCTTCTGTAAACAGTGGGACTGTCTGTTAGGACTTAACGTGATTTCCATTTAAGTTGTATTCTGCTTTCATTAACATTACATATCGTTTTTATGTTTTATTGCAATATATAATCCCTTGATCCAGTTCTGTTGAGTGAGGGTGAAACCAGTCAGCTGTGTTTGTTTTATTTTTTATTTTTATTTTTAATCATGAAAAGTAAAATAAGTTTAACCTTTTTTACTACTATAATATATATGTTGAAACCTCATCCAGCATTCTCAGTGGGAGAATTCATCCATATATCTTTTGATATTTTGTTGCCTATTCATGAAATTTGGAAAGGTATATATAAAATAGAATGTATGCTAATGTGGAAAGGTTTTATCTTTTATTTGATGAGATTTTCAGGTTTAATATCAGAGAAAATATGAAACAATAAAATTAAAATTAGCTAAAAAGAAAGTTAAAATTTTAGTGAGACAAAAGAAATTAGTTTTTCTTCCACTTTATTGGAAAATTGTTATCAGTTTCTTTTTTAATGCAAACAAGTTCATCTTTGTTGCTATGCCTGTTTCTTGAATTAGAAATTTTAATTTATGAATCTTATCATTATTTGAATCATCCAATAACAAAGTCAGAATCACTAACAGGATCTTGTAGTCAATCAAGCTAATCTGTTTAAAACTGTATTTTAGAAACTATTTTAAGAACTTCATTGCTGTACATTTATTTTTGAATCTGTTTCTCTCTGCTGAATGATGATAGCTCAGTGGTAGAAACTCTGACTGACACTAAATTGGCCAGGTTTCGATCCTGGCTTGAAGCATTTAGATGTCTAATTGCACTGAGGAGCTGTGATACAGCAAAACAGTACTGTCTATGAATGACATAATTAAGCTCTTGAAAAATATATTTCAATTGAGCACTGTTGAGAGATAAGCTGATTCTATAAACAACAGCCATCTGCACTAATGCAAAGCTCTTCAGTAAAATGAATTGGAGCCCTCTGACTGATTGGTGTTTGTTTATATTTGTAAAAACAGTATGCTAGAATTAGCTGTTTCCCTCTGCTGAATGATGATAGCTCGGTGGTAGAAACTCTGACTGACACCAAATTGGCCAGGTTTCAGTCATGGCTTGAAGCATTCAGATGTTTAGTTGCACTGAGGAGCTGTGATACAGCGAAACAGTAGTCTGCAAATGACACACACACACACATTATATATATATATATATATATATATATATAGTTGTCCCTTTCACTTTGCGCTTCAATGTTTGCAGCTTCAATCTATCACAGTCTTTGCAGATCTTTTCATTAAAAAATCATATCTCGGTTCCTCACTGCTTCGCTGTTGACTATGGTCTACTACAGGCTTAGAAAAAAGTTCTTGCCCAGATCTCAGGAGCAGACACACAGCCAATCTTTCAGTTGATTGAGACAGTGAAAATAATACAGGACACACTCAGTTGTCGCTCATACACCCCTGTATTAAAATTACTGTAGGCCTGTGTATTCAAGCACCCCAGCAAATCCTTCAACGCCAGGTGCAGCTGCTCGACCACTCCTTGTGTGTGGGCAAGAACTTTTTTCTCGGCCTGTATTATTCAAAAATCAGGTGTGGTGAAACCAAGGCAATCAGAACATGCTGTTCACTGATTGGCTATTCTTGCAGGTGTGCTGGGGATTACTTGTTGGTTATGAATTTGGTGGTGTGCTGATACAAAGGAGTTTGCAAACAAGGTTGTTCAGAAGATAGTAAATTGATAACAAACTGAGTACAAAACAACAAGGCAATAGTATTTGATTAAAATAAAGCCAAATGTTATTTTTGCCGACAAAACCAAAACTACATACAAAGATATTTATTTAAATAGGATAATTGATTTCTAGGATATGTTGAAAAGAAAACATCAAATTATGCTTATTAGTCATTCCAAGGTATAAAAAATGTTTATGCAAATGATTTAGAGGCAGAGTAACCTTTGTTGTGCAGTACATCTCTTTATCATCAAATGTTGCATTATTTTCCTAGGTTCACACTATCCTAGGAAAATAATGCAACTTGTTCGATTATGAAGTGATGTACATATAAGAACTTTGTGTGGGATTTTAATGTACAATAATAATATTTGTAATGCCTAATAATTCTTATTTTCTCTAATATTGGGTAATATAAGTGTAAAAATAACTACAGGAGTGTTATTTTATGTCTAGAGAGTTTTTATAATGTCAACCATATATAGAAGTTCTTAAACTGGTTTTCTATGCTCTAACTACAAAAATATTCAATTTATAAATAAAGAATCCTACTTCCTGGAAATTCACTTATTGTAGTAGGGTCTGGAAATGATTAACCATGAAAAACAAGTGACCACTATATATATATATATATATATATATATATATATATATATACACACACACACACACACACATGCAATTTCTTTCAAAAAGTTTAACTAACTGATATTTTTTATGATATAAATGCATATTTCTGACAACTGAATATGGGTTAACAAAAAAAAAATCATTGATTGTTTCCTTAAAACTTATTTTAGGTATTTTGATCAGAAACAAAAAATATTATTCCAGAATATAACTTTGCTATGAATATACACATATTTTAACTATGAATAATATTTGTTGTACTAATTATAAACTGTAATGTGGCTGATATAATTCTCTCATAATAAATTGAAAGATACAGAATTACTTTAGATTAACATTAAGAGAGACAAATATTACTTTTTTTTTGCTTAACTTTAATTTATGAGCTGAAATTTTCAAATAGGTGATTAGAATTGTTTTATTGGAATCAACTTTTGTTTTGGTAGAATACATAAACTTATTTCTTTAAAGTTGAGAAAAGATTATAGATAAAAATTTTAATGAGAATTTAGAGTATATTCCCACACATATATGCATTACTGTGTATATAAAAAACAGTTAACATGCTTTACTGCTTCCACTTCTTCTATGAGGGATACTCCAGAAGTAATGTCTTTTATTTATTTCCATGGAAACTACATAAGGTACAATAAAACCGTTAGGTAGAACAAAATTTAAGGTATAAATCACTACCTTTCCACATCGTCACCAACACTGAGATTAATAAAGAAAATTCTACATGAAAATTTGCACCATTGGAGAAATCCATTTTTATGCACACATCCCTGTTGTCATTGTTAAAACATATTACCCATTAACT